TCATTGTCACGCTGAACCAGGTGGTTGAAAATTTAAGAGCAAGTTATTAGACTTCCTCTAAAATTCTGTGATATTTGTAACTTGGACTAAACATTGGTGTGGGAGAGTGGTAATAAAGAAATGCAGCTTCCACTGTACATCAGCAATGTTGTCTTTTAAATGGTGTCCTCATAAAAAGGAGCGGGTATGTAAAAGGTCTAGGACTTATGGACAAGGAAGGAGGAACTCTTGGTAGAGAGAAGAATGTAATGCAAAAATAGAACTGGGTAAAGGTACAAACACCCCTGTGGTTAATTAGCACTTTTGTGTTGGGTGCGCAAAGACAACGGGAGCATTTGCTTTGAGTATCCTTACAAAAAGTGGCAAAATCTGTATGGAACACGTATGGGGTAAAAATGTGGGGTGGTGTGACTATACTGAATCGAGAGGAAACTTGAGTTTCAGCTGCTGTTCTGCTTAATATTAACACTTGTTTGTATAAAATATATGTTTACAAGAGAGAAAACTGAGACCTTATTAGAATATAAATTTGTCTGGCATTTGTGGTGTTCACCTGAAACTTGGGCAACGGCTTCAAAATATCCACACTAGTTATGTCAGTGAAGACTCAAACTTGCTCAAAGCTTGTAGAAACCTAATTAAGTAGTTAGCAGAGGAAGTACCGTGGCTGGGACAACACAGTCTATTGATACAGAAGCTAGCAAGCTTAAAGCTCGTTCAGTTATGTCTGTGCAAACTGTAGCTACCCCTTTAAGCTGTCTAGATCACATTTGAAGTGCAATTTATTGTGCTTTCAATAAAACAAAAATGTTTCTTTTAGAAGGAGTGTCCAAAAGGCTAATTACACATGAGAATACAGTGTGTTTTCATGTACATGTGGATGAAGCCAATCCTGACAATACTCTGAAAGCGTGGAAAGACTTATGACCTGTATTTTGAGAGTTTGAGGTGGAGCAGATGACTACATTGCTGTGTCAGCTTTTATTGGATGTATGTTTACATAAATATCCTTAAAGATCTAGTGTAATCGGCTTTTAGTGATTTCAACATGAAGTGCTTAGTGTACATTGAAGGATAATCAGGCAGCTCATTCTAAAGGAGGAGTGAGAAGGCATTTTCTGTAGGAAGGTGCCTAGGAAGTCGATTTTGTGCCTCTATTGGTGTGTGTTCTTTACATATTGTTACAGTATTCTTCACTGAATGGTCTACATTTTGGGTCTTGACTCCCTGGCACTAGTCTGTACGATACTTGGGTTGCAAGGTCAAAGTCCAAGACACGTCTTGCTCTTTGGAAGAATGCTAATTAATACATGTTTATCATATCTGTAATCTGGGTAAGCAAGTCTATTCATAATTTTGCTTGGAATTTACATACTAAAGTGAATCCTATTGACAGAATTTGGATTGCTCACTGGTAGAATTTACCCAGTGTTCTTAAACTTGAACTATTGATATTTACTAATGTAAAAAAAGAAAAATAGTTACTATTACACCATGAATTATAAGACTTTGAGGTTCCTTTTTTGTCTTATTAATTATTTTTTGAAGACACGTTGTCTGAAAGGCTTCATAGAGTAAACTATGACACTAGTGAGATGGGAGTTTATTCATGTGTGGTATATTATACATATGTTTGGTATGGTATTTGTATTTATCAGTGTGAAGATTAAGCTTTTTTGTAGATTCTATATGGTAATTTGGTGAGGAAGAAAACTTGATAGTGGCTAGGAAAGGAATGAGTATAACAGGAAAAAAGTGAGATAAGAAACGATAGAATGAATAAGAAGTTTGTGGATGATGAGGAAAATTGTTAAGAACAGGTATAAGACAAAAGCAATTCTATCTTATGTTGCCCAGAGTGGATGCTGTCAGTATGTGTAAAGCATGTTCGGTACAAGTGCTAATAATAAGCTCTGATGTACATGCGAGGCTAACAAATTCAGGTAATGCAGGTTGCTGGTGACCTCTCATTAGGTGGAAGTTGAAAGAGAAAGCCTGACATAGCTTGTTCCCCTTGTGGTTTTGTTGGAATCTTGTTTAATATATAGAAATCTACTCAGGTAAAAGTAATTTCAGATACCAGAGTCTATTAAAAAAAAGTTAATTTTTTTTAGGCCTTTTGTTTAATAAGTGAAGTAACTGTTGTTACCTGAAATTTCTTGTAGAGCTTTTAGTAATTTTGCTTCTGTGACCCACCTGTCTATCTCTGTAATGGTGTAGAGCTGGTGGCTGGTATTGCTTCAGAGGGTGATGTGAGAAAACATTGTAGTGTAAAAGAATAGAGTAATCTTACTGAAGAAACTTGTTTCTAGAGACTTATTTCCCTTAAGTGGGAGGACTTCCAGTTTTGTAAGCCCATATATTTCTTAATTCAGTTCAACTGATGGCCAAAGACTGCTTTTTACATTAAAACAGTGTTTCTTTTTATCAGTTTTAGATCTTCCTTTCCAACTTCACTGGTTCCTGTTCCTGTATTAAATAATACTTTTCAGTTTATAATTCAATACAGTTGTCAGCTAATTTAATTTCTTTGGGTTGTATCTGTAGATTGTTCATTTTTGAAGTGTTTTGGCAATGTAAATATATTTAAATGTGAAACAGTAAAAATATACAATTTTATACACTTCATCTGTCTACTGTTTTTGATGCATAGTCTTGCTTCTGTGAGACCATGAGTTTAGGTCAGAAGAAATTGTGATTAGACTTCATCAGGCACTGTCTGCTCTGAGTGTAGGTTTACTGACAGCTCATTTTAATATATTAGCATTTTCTTGAACAGTTAATTTTGTAGAAAATCTAACACCCCTTCACTTCTTTTAAAATGACAGTGTGTCTAAGTGTGTGAAGCATTCAGCTTGTAATTATAAAAAGAATAATAGAATACCAGGTTGGAAGGGACCTCAAGGATCGTCCGGTCCCACCTTTCTTGGGAAAAGCATGCTTTAGACAAGACGGCCCAGTACCCTGTCCAGCTGAATCTTAAAAGTGCCCAGTGTTGGGGAATGCACCACTTCCCTGAGGAGATTATTCCAATGTCAGATTGTTCTCATTGTGAAAAATTTTCCTCTTGTGTCCAAACAGAATCTCCCCTGGAGTATCTTGTACCCATTATCCCTTGTCTTTCCCATGTGACTCATTGAAAAAGGGCATCTCCATCTTCCTCGTGGCCGCCCTTTAAATACTGGAACATGGTGATAAGGTCTCCCCTAAGCCTTCTTTTCTCAAGGCTGAACAAACCCAGTTCTTCAGCCTTTCCTCATATGGCAGGTTTCCCAATCATCTTGATGGTCCTTCCCTAGACCTTCTCCACCCTGTCCACATCTTTTTTGCATAGCAGGGACAAAAACTGAACACAGTAGTCCAGGTATGTCCTGACAAGGGCTGAGTAGAGTGGGATAATGACTTCTCTGTCTCTGCTGGTGATGCCCTCATGGATGCACCCCAGCACCCAGTTGGCTTTTTTGGCCACCGCAGCCTGCTCTTCATTCATGTTGACCTTGTTGTCCAGCAGGACCCCCAGGTCCCTTTCCACAGAGCTGCTCCCCAGCCAGGTAGATCCCAGCCTGTGCTGCACTCCTGGATTATGTCTTCTCAGGTGCAAAACCTTACACTTGCCCTTGTTGAACTTGATAAGGTTCTCATTAGCCCACTCTTCCAGCCTATCCAGGCCTTCCTGCGGGGTGGCTCTCCCTTCTGAAGTGTCCACTCCCCCACTCAGTTTGATATCATCAGCAAACTTTGTCAGGCTACACTTTATTCCATCATCCAGATCACTTATGAAGATATTAAATGGCATTGGACCCAGTATCGATCCCTGGGGCAACCCGCTTGTGACGCATTGCCAGTTTGAAAAGGAGCGTCTGGGTGCACCGTCAGCCAGTTCCTACCACCACACAGACCACTTGTCTATACCGTAACACATCAGTTTCTCTGGGAGGAGGCTGCGGGGAACCATGTCAAAGGCCTTGGAGAAATCCAGGTAGACAATGTCCACAACTCACCCCACAACCGAGTTGTTTACTTTGTCATAGAAGGCGATCAGGTTTGTCAAGTACACGTTGCCCTTGGTGAATTTGTGCTGGCTTTTCCCAATCACGTGCTTCATTTGAGTTGTGATAGCCCCAGGAGGATTCATTCCATAACTTTCCCAAGGGACTGAAGTAAGACTGATGGGCCTATAATTTCCTGGATCGTCCTTTTAAGACCGTCTTGTAGATGGGGGTGATATTACCCTTCTTCCAGCCGTCTGGGACGTCCCCCAATCTCCACAACTTCTCAGAGATTATGGAGAGCGTCACTTTGTTTGATCTGTCCGTTCTTTGTCAGCGTGAGGTAGGTAGGAACTGCATCTTCAGTATACATTTTTTTTGTTAGAAGATGCCCATACAACCCTTGCCTGGTACACAGCTGTTCTCAATACCCTGTGAGTATTTGTACACCTGAGCTAAGACAAAACCAAAAGTTTTTAGAACAAAGTGTTGAGGTTAAAGAGGAGGTAGGTTTGTTTGCCTTTAATTTAAAAAAAAAAAAGGCTGGTATTTGAACCTCACTGGAATGTAGCCTTTGTTCTGATTCTTCAGGTTTCCAAACAAAATGATAGTTTCCTGGTTTTAAGTGTTATTTTTAACCTTAGTTTTTGGTGTTCTCATTGCTTAGATTTTTCATGCAAACAATGTTGATAAACTTTTGATAAGGGGTTGGGGGGAATTGATCAGGTAAGAGAAGTTGTATGGTACATGATTGAGTTGAGTGATCAGTCTGATACAATTACAACTACATTATTGGATTCTTTTTAATGGCTTTAATAAATTTGGCTTTAAGGGATGTGTCTATGTCTGAATACCTGCTTGCTATTCAGATGCCAAGCTGAATATTAGCTTGCAATTCCTGCTTGGGTGTCCAAATCATTATGAGTTTTTTGGCTTGTTTGTTTGTTTGGGTTTTTTTGGTGGTGGTTTGGTTTGGTTTTTGTTTTTGTTTTCTTTTCTTTTCTAATCTAGGATGAAACAGGTGCCTATTTAATAGACAGAGACCCGACCTACTTTGGGCCAGTGCTGAACTATCTCAGACATGGGAAACTGGTTATTAACAAGGACCTAGCTGAGGAAGGTAAGATGTTACTACATCTCTTGCTTTCTTGTCACTTGCTTATTGTTTTCACTGCTTTTGAGTCACCAATAGTAACTTACAAGTAGATGGTAAATCTTAACCAGTGTAGCATTTCGATCCGTTTCAAGCAAAGCTGACAGGTATCGTGCAGTTATAGTATATGCTGTTGTTTGATACTGTTTGATGCTGTTTTGAGTATGATTCCTGATTTCACAACCCCCATCCCCAGTCAGAAATGGAACATAAATATTCAAACACGAGGGGAGATGCCTTTTATTGCATGATCTTGCATCTTTCCTGTATGACTGTGTGAAATATTTGGGTTTAGTTCTCTTTAAGCAAAAGAATACTGGCGGTGAAACACGCTTTAGAAGATGTAAGGCAAAGTAAGAGTGAATTTCTGGGATGTTCAGATGTGTGGGATATGCTCTTAAAGAGTAAATTCTGCCCCCAGCTTCTCCTTTCCTGTCCCCAATTCATACCAGTTTTACCCTAATGGAGGATGACTGTTTTAAACCATATAGTACTAAAACTGTATTGATAAGGTACTGAAGAAATCAATCAAAGAGATTATATAATTTCTATGTGCACTGTGAAACACATAGTATGTGTGGAGAACAGGTGAGGCTTGAATGTGTAACTAGGAGCAGTCCGTAGTAAGTATCTTGAAGCTTTTGTTTCAGGGTCAATGATCTCAAATGACAGGAAGAAAAATTTTCTGCACACAAGCAGCTGCAGAGCTTTTCAGTAGGACTATTTGAATTTCCCTTTCATATTCCACCCTGAAGCAGGGCCTGAACTATGGTGGTCCATCAGTCTCCTCTGGAATGGCATTTGTGCTCCTTTTTTTGTGTGTTTCCTGCCTCTCATTCTGTATGTGAAATGGAATCAGCTTTCTTTGGGAGTTTTTTAGGAGCTAAACGTTGAACTACGTGTGCCTGAAGGAAGCCGGAATTGTTAGGTTGGTAAATGAACTTTTCCTAGGGCAAAATAAATCATTTTCTATAGCTGTAGAGAAGATAATCTTAGGAACTGGTTCGTGGTTTTGGCATGAAATCTTTGGTTACGCTCTCTTTCCAAAAAATGTTCTCATACTAGGTGTACTGGAAGAGGCTGAATTCTACAATATCACATCACTAATAAAACTGGTAAAGGACAAAATAAGAGAAAGAGACAGCAAAATCTCACAGGTGAGGCTGTTTTCTGGTGTGGTTTTGATTATTTGTTCTGTGGCAAGTAGTGGGTGGGTTCCATTTTTTTTCCTTAACTGCTCATTTCCCCAGTAAGATGCTGAATGGCTGCCTCCATCAGTGGCTGAGCTGGAACTGTTAGTACGCAAAGATTAATATTCTTAACCGCCAGTACCTGCCAGTCTGCTTACAAAGGGCACAGGCATATGGTTCCAGTTCTTGTTCAAAAACTGAAAAGGAATAGTAGAATTTGTCGCAATATCATACAGCTTTTGTAGAATATACTTTTCTCGTGTACATGTAAATACTCTGAATATGATGAGATTGCATAACTGCAGTATAATTGTTGTTTTTACAGTATGTTTATACAGCATATGTACAGATGCCATTGAGCTCCTGTCATATGCCTTTGTAGCAAAGTTAGTTTCTTTATTTGTAGTGCTCTGTACTTGAGAAGACACTGCCTCTTCTCATAGCAGCTCATGAATATTTCTTCATGAAAGTGAATATGATAGAGAAACTGTTAAAGAAAGAAAGTATTCAAGTTTGTTCTTTAACTCTGCTACGCTGGCCTGCCCTGGTAACTGAGTCTTCATGGAGCTATTACGAACTCATGTTGCCAAATTTCTCTTGCAGCCAGGTTGCGGGATAGCAGAGTTGCTCTGATAGCATTTTCTAAAGGGTTTCAGCTGAAGTGGTCGTAGTTACTCATTGCCTTTCACAGGGAAATAAAGACATTTTTTAATATGGTTGGACCTTCCTTAAAGTTAGATATGCCTCTGTAGAATCTCAACCTTGATTTTGAATTATGTGGTGTGCTATCACATGGAATGATAGGTAAGCCTTAAGATTATTTTGTTATAACTGTTAAGTAGCACTTTTAGTGCCTGAAACATTAACGATGCATTGAGTCTTCTGCAAGGTGATTCTGAACAGATGAGATTTCTTTTAGAAAAAAGAAGGGCGAGGTGTTCAAGGTGGTGTTGCTTACCATTTCTAAAGAATAAGGGCAACTTTAGACAAGTCACAAACAGTGAATTCCATGCTGTGTTGAGCATCTTGTATTTCTTCTTGAAGGTGCCAGTCAAACATGTGTACAGGGTGCTGCAGTGCCAGGAAGAGGAACTTACTCAAATGGTTTCCACAATGTCCGATGGCTGGAAATTTGAACAGGTAAAAAACCCATACAGGATATAATTACAAAGTCTTCTAAAAATGCAGTTATGTGAAAGTGGAGTTTAAAGTCAATTCTATGCATCTTTTTAAGTGCATTCATTTTAAAATGAATGAGTTAAAATTTGGTATTTGTATTCTTATTTGTCAGAGAAGAAAAAAACTGTAGCTTTCCAGGAGGTAAATTGTGCTGACTTTCTATAAAAACATCTACATCATGTTTAACGTTTAATTCTTCAGTGTCTGCACATGAGCATTTGAAGGCTGAATAAACCAAAATTATCTAATACAAGTTTATATGAATGGCAGGTCAGATATAAAAAGCTCTGGGTAAAAGAGCTGAGCTTAGGAGATAAATTTGTGTTAGGCCCAAACAATGGTTCTTCAGATAAAGGACCGATACCCATAGGAGGGTGAGCTTAACCAGCGTGGATGTGAAGCTGGATAGGTGTGAGCTACATGGGTGTTTTCGTTCTTTGCACTGCGTAAACATAGCTTTATGTGTAGATTCAAGAATACATTGTAAAATTGCAAAAAGATCTTTCTGTTATCTTTGCTAATCTCTGTAAATAAGAAACTAACTACATGGCCTCTTCATCCTTCACATTCCTGATCTACCGGAATATTTAAACTGCATTGAAGCAATGAATCCATTAACTCTGGAGTGAGACACAAGTGCATAGCTGCCAGCATCTTTTTCAGTGTCTGGTGTCAACTGTAGGAGAGATTGGAATAAGCACAAGCCTCTTATCCTGTGCAGTCTCACTCTAATAACACAACAAAGCAACATTTTTTAAGAAGTACAGCACACAAAGGTAGAAGGCAACATTTTGTTTATATTTGATGAAATGTGTAAGATTCTGGTGTCATGCAGACAGCCATGATCAAATAAACTAAACCAGCACAGAGAAAGGTTCTTATGCTTCAGTTCTCCGGCTCAAGTGCTACCAGGTCTGTTTGGCATGCCAGAAGCTTAATGTTGTTTAAGTCCCTGAAAAAAAGCTCTCACTTCATGCACATGACACTTTTTTGACCAGTGCATTGACAAAATTTTTTTGACGTTCTTCTTTGTCATGAGAAACTAGCTTTCATTACAAATAGAAATTCTTTACTTTTTAACAGATTAAATGATACTACTGCTTTTACCTGTCCTAAAGCCTTGTATTCTTTGGGGATATTGTATTTGGGAGTAATACTGCTTTGACAGTGCAACTGCTGAAAGAACTTTTATAATCTCTGTTAGAATTTAGAATCTCTTTTAGAACTGGAAAATTCCAGTGGTTTTCTTGAGTGTTATGTCCTTGTTTCATCCAGCTTTCTCCCTACTTCCTCCCTCCCCCATGTTGCCCTCTCTTGGACACGTAGTTTGAAGTAGATAATCACAAGAGCTGTATGGTCTCATAATACTCAGCTTCTCGTTACCTCAGACTGGGCCAATCTCTCCTGTGGTTGTATTGCAGACCTGCTCTTAGCAGACATCATTCACTTGAAACATGATTAGAACATTCTGTATAATCTAAACAGTTTTATTGTTAAGATGTGAGAACACTGTAGCATTTCTGTAATTTTTTATCTTGTCTAAGCGTGTGTTGCTCAGCAACATGCTTTCTTCAGAAGCAGTCTTTGGGTTGGCACCTACCACACTTTGTACGTATTATCATTGGTGGGGTAGAGATCATCAGCTTTTTCAGAGGAACAATATTCCTACGGGTTGAGAGTCCTTGTGCTCTGTGCCCTATATAACATGTTTAAGGGGTTGGTTTTGATCAAAAATATTTCTTTCCCCTTAACATTTCAAAATTTTCGTGTAAAATATGATTGGATGTGGTGATTAAATTGGAGTGGAAGGTGTTAAAGTTCTGGTGCACTTACGCGTATGTATTGATGCACTTTTCCAAAGAATAGGAGTGAAAGCGGTGCTAGAATACTGCAATTATGTGTCAGTCCCAGTCCAAAAACTACTGCCAGTAGCTGTGCTGCCTGACTTTTGTGATTTCTGTGGGTTGTTTTGTAGATGATTTTTAGCTTCAATTGTTAACCTCTTCAGGCAATCAGAAAACCCAATATTTTGGCAATACTGCATAACGAGAAACTTTGGGCCATACAAAATTGCTACATACTAAGGCTTTAGACCGCAGTGGTGTGTCAGTCATGTAAATTTTAATGATTAATGTAACCTGAGTCTGTCACCATAATGCTGTCTAAAATATGTTGACTGTATGAGGATGGTATTTAGCTGCTGCCTTCAAAATTATTCACATAACAACAGCAGGATAAAAACAAATTTACTGTTCATGAGCCTCCTCATCAGTAGTAATCTCCAGTTTACTCAGAATAGGAACTTGTTGTCTAGTCCTTCACACGTAGTTTAAAGCTCTAATCTTCCTCGAGTGCACTGACAGGCTGTGCTTTAATTTAAATGGCCGTGTATTATTAAGATAAAATATTTTTTGTAATAACAAGTTGAGAAATTTAGCTGAGGTTGTTCTTAACTTCTGAATTATTAGATATTTGGCAAGTGTAAACAAGAGTTCTTGGTACTGATTTTTATGGGAACAAGACAGACAATTTTGTCCACTCCAGCTATTTTCTCAGATCTTCTCTAAATTACCCCCTCTAAAACCAACTTAGAGCACTCAGTATTTTTTTCCTCTAGTTGACTTCGTATGTTTCCTTAGCTGTATTTTGTTTATCAGTATCTGGAACAAGATGAAGCTCTTTCATATCCAGGCTTGATGTATCATTTTACATAACACCTTCCAGTCTTATATCCAGGTTACCTTCTGCACTTGGCAAGTATGACAGGAAAATAACGCGTACATTCATAATGCACCAAACTTTGTTTATGTTTTTCACATTAGTTGGTTACACGGCGGTGATCTGAGGAGTTTTCTGACTTGCTATCAGTAAGTCTTAATTTCCCTTGAAATTACAAAGGGCTTTGCAACTGCTTCCATAAATTTTAAGAATGTTGAAATGAAAGTTGTAGCTTGATAGCAACTTGTTCCAGTGGCAAGTAAATGTTACCTGAACATTTGAGTTGATCTGTTATTTGTACGATTTGGATAACGGTATGTGCTTCAGCTTTACAAAGGTTTCTTTTTGTGTTTTGCTTTGATTGGTTATTTCAGCTTGTCAGTATAGGTTCCCAGTACAGCTGTGGCCGGGCCCAGCAGTCAGAGTATCTGCTGATAGTGTCACGGGAAGTGAAAGGGGAAGAGAGATGCTTCCAGAAATGCTGCAGTGAGGTGTGTCACACCATTCTTTTTGCCCTCACACTGATATGCTTGGCCTCCTTGCGTTTCTGCTGCTTTCAAATCATTCCACTTTATTCCTGGATGTACAGCACATAGTAATTTGTGTGTATTTGTGACTGGCTTTTATTTATATTCACAGTATTTCATTATACATTATGAATGTTCATATTGTAAAAATAATAAAAAAACAACCAAGCAAAAACCCCTTAGTTATTTAGTTAAAGGCTTTCCTTACGAAGAGTTCTTACCTTCTCAATAGGTAACTTCTTTTCCTTAAATCTTCCTCCAAAGTTAACAGCCTTTGATCCATACTTGTTAAGTAAAAGTGGTACAATTTAAACATTAGAAGTGGTGTAAATTAAGCTTTGAGTTCACTGGGTTCAGAAAGGGACATTTCTGTGTTAATCATTGTTCCAATCTGAGTGTATTTCATCCACCTAATAGCCAGTTAAGTTCTGAGTTCAAACCCTTTATTTCTGGTAACTCAGAACTTAACTGGTTTTTTTAGGTGGATGAATTATATTCAAACTGGAACAATGACTAACAGAATTTTTCAGCAGTAAAATATAGAGGAGGGAGGGGAGAACAAACCCAGCAGTTTTAAATCTTGTCTTAAGTGGAAAGAACATCCTGGGGTTTTGTGGCTATATTTTTTTGTTATTTGATTTCTTTTTCCCCCCTTAGGAAATTTTCTTGAAACCTAAATGAAGAATCATAGCTTCACCATTGGCTTTTTAGGCTGTCTCATCCTTCCTGGTCCCCTCACCCTCAGGTCACTGTTTTTTTACTTGCTGTGGTGCTTCCCAATGTTCAAAAGTTTGGGAAGGATTTTTTGCTAACCAGTAACATTGGAGGCAGTTCCCAGTTCTTTACAAAGCTGTGCTCCATTTTGAAGTTTCATGTGAATTGATTTGGGAACCTGCTGTTCTGCAGTATTTTTCATCAATAAAATACTTGTTCTTTTCCTTGCTGGTTATTAATTCTGAAAGATCAGTATAACATCATGAAGATAACATGACAGTAAAGTGAGCAGCACCTTGCCTATGACATGGACACTTAGCCATGCAATTCTACATTTTAAACCTGGACTGTGGCCTAGCTGTATTCCAGAATCTGCTTTCAATGTACCAAGCTCTGTTTGTTTCTTGCAATTGTACAGGTAACATTTGGAATGTAGAATTAATGCACTGGGATTGCAGACTTTCTGGAACTGAGTAGGAAATGTGGCCTGTTGTCAAGGATGTGTAGGGTACAGGCAGCATGATGTTATTCGTGTGTTTGTGTCCTAGATAGCTCAAAGTAAAAATCAACATGATAAAATGGGAGATGAAGGAAAGCAGTGAAAAAACTAAATTTAAAATTTAAAAAATATATATTTTTAAATTAAAATCTAAAATAAAAAATGTAAAATAAATAACAAATCTAGAAGGGAATGCATTTTCCTTCCTCATGGATTTGAAGTCTGACAGTTGTATTAAGAGGCCTGAAATAAGTATGCTTGCAGTCCTGGTGTCAGTCATCAGTGCTGAGCTTAATGGCTGATGTGTATGTATCTTTATAGCCTTTTGCAAATCCTTTGAGAAGGCAGTAGGATGAACGCATTATAACTCTAAAAGGCGCAGAGGCCATACTTACATTCACACAACCTGATTCTGTAAAAAAAAAAAATTGAGGGGAGGACTTTCTTTTATTCTGTGAACTGTTAGTAGAATAAAAAAAAAAGACAAGCTTTTCATGATAAGCTTTCTAGTGTACAAGGAATTCACCATGTCTGAAATAGAAGCAGTCATATTCAAAGTATAAAAATATTTAAAACAGAATTTGAGAATGATTGTTATGAAATTCACTCAGTTTCGAGAGTCAGACCATCAAAGAAAGAGATGGAAATCGGTAGTCTTGAAGTAGAAGAGTTAATTAATATGAATAACTGCAGTGGGAACGAGAGAAAGACAGGGATGCTCTTTGTGTGAGTTGGAGCGGTTGTCTGTGATGGTAATACTATTGCTAATTTGTCCTGTAAATGTACTGTATGGATTCTGAGTCAATATTGTTAAGCCAATATAGCAAACCTGTATAGGCAAGTTATTGCAATGTCGCTGGTTTTGAGATCTGTCTCAATTCAGTTAGGCATGAGGTTCCTAAAAGTGATGCACCAACCATTTTCCTTATCCATAGGGATATTTTTAGGTGTACAGTCATTGATTTAAGACAGGAAGAGATTCATATATTTTGCTGCTGTTGAGTAACTCGATGCAGGAATCATTTGACCGATTCTCTCAGCTATACTGCTTTTATCATCTGTTTTTCTTAAATAGCCTCTCACAGAGCTGCAGACTTAGGAAAAGTTCTTCAGAAAGTTACTTCATTATTGTCCCTGAAATCATTCTTAAATCTTTCATCTTTGAAAACAAGCCTGACCATAGCTAGGCATCAGGTAGTCTCTATCCACCTGTACTTATGCCAAACTGTTGGGTTTTTTAACTTTGCCTTTCCTGATTGTCATCTTTTATCTTACTTAAAAGTTCAGGCTTTACGAGACAGGAAATTCCCTGTTGTTATCTGTTTTTTCAGGAAAATCCTGACCTCCTGTATTGTCACATGAAGAAATAGAATGTAAATAACTATATTTCTGCTGCAGGAATAATAATAATAATAATAATAATAATAATAATAATAATAATCCTTTCCATGCCTGCATTTTATAGTTACAGCTGACAGCCTACTAGCATCAGCACCCTTATTCCATGCAAAGAGTGAATGGATTGTGATCTAATGAATTTTCTGTGATAAGTAACATTGGCATTTTCCTGTGCTTGGTTATGACGCGATTGGGGCTCACAGGGACATTCAAGCAGGGTCACACTGCTTTAGGAAGGAGTGTAATGAAGCAAGTGATGGAAGGAAAAAAACAATGAGGAAAAATACATACATGCATGTATGCATATGTATATATAATCACACAAATACATGAAATTCAGAGTTTCAAAATGTTCTTTTTTTCCTTCCTTAAGTTGTTGGTCATTAAAACTCTCTCTACTGTTTAAGCCCCATGAGCCAGTAAGAGTTTGTCCTTTCAGAAAGTCTGAGAAACAGTAGGCTGGATAATCTGAAATCCTTTTCCTATGCATTGTAACACGTGTTTTGCAGACCTCAGATTACTCTGATTTGTTGTGGGTTTTTTTGGCGGGGGGAGGGATGCGGACAGACAGGCACAGGGTGGGGGAGTTTAACAATTCCTTCCAGTTTATCAGCATCCTTCTTAAAGTATTGCCAGCAACACTGGGAACAACGGGGTGACTTTTGGAATACAAGTATTAAAACATTTCTTTATTTCTGATCATACTTTCTGACACAACAGTTCAGTTCTAATCTGCAATCATTTTCCATTTTTCCTTTTTCTGCCATCACCCTTACTGCTGCTGATGCATCTCAGAAAGCTACAGTGAAGTTTCTAGCATGCTGTTGATACTATGCAAATAATACATTCTTAGTTGCACACATATGGAACTGCTTACAAGAGTATCATGTGTTGGAATTTTGAAAAACTTGTGTTTAACATTGCAAAAATTACTAAATCAATAGTCCTATCCAACTCCGCCATGTCTCCTAAAAAGACTTATGGGCAAAAGGTCAACTTGTTTGGATTATGAAGCGTTAGTGGAGGATATAAGTAGCTATCAACTGAGGACCTATCAACCTTGTTGAACCAGGATTGATGATTTGGCTGATGTTTGGATCTTGTATCATACCTGCTTTCAGAGCGGTCGTTTATTTCTTTTGATTGTCAATGAGTAAAGAAGTATTTTCGCTCCTGGTAGTTATTATCATAGCTTATCTGCTGTCAAGTTATCGCCATTTTGCAAGAAGAAAAGTAGACTAAATACTAAATCAAATCATATGCTTGAATTTTATTCTTCAAATTTCTCTTCAGAGAAGGTGAATTATGTGTGGCTTTATTTAAACTTGTATCCCACTTTTTGAATGTTTTCTAGCCTTAAAGTGGGTTAAAACTACTGTTCAAAATAGTCCTACATTTTACCTCAATAATTGAAGCAGTTACTGCATTTGTATTATATGGTTTGTAATTGCTATATAATATATATAATGTGTTCATTAGTGATTATGTGTGTATTTTGCAGAACTAGAGCGATGTTAGGAGTGGAGAAGGGAGGGAAAGGTTTCTGGTGATCACACCCAGAGAGTGTAGTTAAAGTAGGTAGTTTGAGAGCTCCAAGTGTTGATTGCCGGTAGTGTTTACTGGAGGCTGAACCTCGTATGCTGTAATACCATCAGGGTCCAAAAACTGTGACATCGCCTGGGCCTGGCATCGAGTAGGCTCATCATGCAGACAAACCGCCTGCTGCTCTTTGTAGACGTTGGCTCTACCTGTCTGTGGAGGTGCTTGCTTGGCTGTCTTACTACAGTGCTGGAACATCTGAGCATCTCTCTCCTCTCTCTCCTTAAAAGTGCAGTGAGGCTTTATTTTCTCCTGACAGCGCTATATGGAAGCTGCTTTTAACCTTGATCTACCTTCCGCTTTTGTTGGGGGAATAGTCTTATCCCTCAAGTGCAGATTCTAGACCAAGATTTCATCTTGGCTGCATCTTCCCTGCTTTAACAAGGCTTTCTTTTATTGTCCTTGGTGCTCTGCTAGACTAATGGCAGCACACAGTTTGTTTTTAGACAGACGATTACAGTGTTTAAAGTGCTGTTGCCCTAAAAAACAGGTGAAGCCTTTTCTACGGGGCCATTACGAGGGCACTTTAATAATATAGTAGAGATTGGGGAATAGGACAGCCTTATCACATGTGTGGTGATTTGGTAGGTAGATTTAATACAGTTTTGGTAATGACATTTAGATACAGCGTATCTGTGCAACGGGTTGATTCTTAGGACTTTGATCTGTGTCAGTAGTAATAGCACCATACATTATCTTGTCATGTTTTGGAAATATACCTTTAAAATAAATGAACAAGCTACATCTGAATTGATTCTGGCTTGGAAAGGCAGACTATATAAAGCTTGTAGCATTAGGTAAGTGTACTGTGCGTAAGGTAAGATAAGTCACATGGAACTTCTGCCATTTGATGCCGTGGTGCTTATGGGGTAGTACTGATGTTGAGTATATCCTTCTTTCTCAGTAAATTGTCATTTATCATCCAATATCGGGACTTGTAGAAGCTTGTAAAAATGTCACATTTCATTATACATGGCTTCCGCTTATAGCGCTTCCTTAATTAACTTCCTTGTAGCAGTACCTATGAATTTCAGATGTTAATCTTGGTGTCCCACCATGCTGTGTCTTGCTGTTTTCCAATCAAATGCAAATTTTGTCTTTGTCCACTCAAAATATGTTGTAATAGAAGTACCGTTATTCTGTAAGCAAAGTGGTGGGTATCCCTTCAGGCTAAAGTGCTTCCTGCATGCAGCCATTTACATGTTAAATCATGCCATGTTGAGATACCACATAAAAACTTTTTAAAAATTAACTTTGGAGGATGGGAAGGTTTCCAGTAAATAACAGAAACAGGGAACAGGCTACTTCTCCACTGGCCTGCCTCTATAGTCTTTTCTCTCACGGTATAATCATGACCGTAAATCATTAATTCTGTAAATGTTTAAAAAGAAAAGCTATTTTTATCTTATCATCAGAGTGTCAGTGTATTTGTCAACATCAAAATGTATTTGCATTGAAGTGGAGAATCATGCTTCAGGCACAACCAACAGTCTGAAGAGTGAGGAATGTTTGTACGAATGATAAGAATTTATGGAATTTGTTTTACGTGGAAATGCAATTGACTTTTTTTTTCTTTTTTTCATCTTCCAGCTGGTCAGTATTGGTTCTTCCTATAACTATGGCAATGAAGATCAGGCTGAATTTCTGTGTGTTGTCTCAAAGGAATTGCATAACACTCCCTATGGCACAACCAGTGAACCCAGTGAAAAAGCAAAGGTAAGTTACTAGACACTGGGCTAAAGAAATGGTGTCGAACTAGGTGGGCTTCACTCAGTCATGCTAGGCCTACCTCTGTTCTGGACCATTATTTAATTGCCTTTTTTCCCCTCAGTCATGACTAATAATGGTTGCCTGTCCGTTGTATAAGAGACTGTAAATGCTACAGTCAGCATGCATTTGTTATACCAGATGGGTTCTTTAAATGCAGTACTCTGCACTCTTCCTGATACCTGTCCTGTTTTTTCGAGTATTGGTGGATATTTGCTGTTCACAGTTGAGAATCTAGATTTTGTTTCTTACACATTTGAATGCTTACTTATTCTGTCACTGGTTCAGTTGAAAACTGTTTTTCTTGCTTAAGTTCAACTGAAGAAATCTTACTGTCAAGAATGGAGATTGCTGTCTCTGAAAAACATAGTCATGTGTGATATGTTATAAAATGAAGGTATTTGTTAGCTTAATATTTTCAGGTTTGTACCTAGTTTTCTTTACTTTCTGTAACCAGCTTTACAAAAAGATTGTAATGGGCACTATATCTTAGCATTTTACTCAGCTGTCTTTCACAGTTTGTACAAGGGAAAATGTAAAACCACAACTGAATACTAATAAGGCAGATGAGTTAGGTCTGTAAGTGTATTTTTCTCTTCCGTGCATATTGGACAGTTTTTATCGTTGTATTGTTGCTTTGTGTGAAGAGATGACTACAGGTAAACCAGACACTTCTGTAGTTGGCTTAAAAGCTTTTCATTTAGTTTATGTAGGTGGGAAACAATTGGTAAAATATCAAAGGTTGCTTTTTCAAGAATCACCTTCAAAGAAATTAATTTTGAAACAATGCCAAGAATTTATCTGGGTTGTGGCACTGAGGCCTTAGATAAAAATTCATTGATATCTGTGCCTTGTAACTTGGTTATGCAGTTACACATATGGAGACATTTTTGTGAATTGCACTATAAAAATACCCTTTATATTGGATTCTTAGTGAAATCATTAATTTATGCTCTTTTGTCACTGTTGTGATAAAACTTCCAAAGAGTTGTAAGGGATTAATGAAGTCAAGGATAAACAGTGAACCTGGGTAAGCTACAGCTCGCTCTTTCCAAAAACCTAGTCACGGTCTGCTTTTGCTAGGATGCTTCAGGAAAACTTTAAAACTTGACAAGGTAAAGAGGTGTGTGGTGATAATTTAGGGCTGAGATATGTATCTGAAATAAAGCTTGGAATTCTAGAACCTAATAAACATCTTCATAGGGAATGGTAGTACATCTTCAGGGAACTTCAGAAGTTGCCAGAGTTATATTGCATCCTTAATGTAAAAGAAAATACACATCAAATGAAACTATTAAATCCTAAATACAAAAGCTAGTTCACAGTGCAGTACAACTCTGTAAATTTAGTAGCTCTGAGAGAAGCTAAGTCTTAGACCTCTCCATTGAAGTGCTTCTTGGTCTTTGTTTCAGAGAAGAGAGCAGAGCATACTTTGACCAAGCTGATGAATAAGAACTAATGTTAATTTTGGTTGGAGATATAAACATTCACTCCTTTTGTCCTGGAAGAGTTGAGCTGTTGCTAGCAATTAATGACAATACTTGAAGAATCAGTTTGTATATAATGTGTTTCTAATAAATCAAATTTTATTTATAGATACACGGGGGGGGCGATACAAAAGCACAAAAGAAAAAAAACACTTTCTTTTTGCTTGAGAGGTTTTTGGCAGCTGTGTTCAGAAATCTTTACGGCCCTTGAGAGCTGTTGTCTCAATAGTTCCCTCCTAGCCAGTGTTGGTCCTCTAGTCTGCAATCTGTTCATTAGTGTCTGAGTTGGTCTTTATGACGTTAATATGATTGAAATTTTGCTATCCAGTGATATATACAGAATAATGTCTTCATGTACTGGGACTAACTTTTAGAAGCCATGAGAAAGTCTTCCTGTTCCTTTCACAGCAGGTTGGGTTAAAGAAAGTACTGGACTTTCAGAATAGGAAAAAGCATTTTTTGACAGCCCATCTAATCAAACTTCACCTTCATTCCTTCTTAGAAATGTTTTTTCTTGTGTTTTCTTTTTTTTTAAAAACAGTTTGCATAATAAGTTAGTTGACTTCTGTGTAGCTTTCTAATACACCTAAGTGAAGGAAATGAATGGCGTTTGGGACATTGACTTAAACGGTTCCAGTGGCTTTTACTGGTAGCCATGGCACTACTGACAGATAACCTGTATTCCCATGAGTATTCTTCTCTTTCATACCGCTTTATTGAGCTGTCACTGTTGAGACGCATAACCACAGCTTGTTCGTAAAGTCTGCGTCCAAAGTTAGATTCTCAGGTGCTATCCTTTCCTATCCATGGCAAAGAGCACACGGAGTTAAGGTACCAGCTTTACAGGTTAATTTAAATTTTCTCTATACTTATGCTCCCTATAGTTATGTTGCATGGTATTATTGGCTTCTCTCTGCTTTAGGACATTTGAAAAGGGAAATTTTCATTAAATCTGTAATGTTCCTGTTGGAAATTGTCTGCTGTCATACTTTCTTACAAAGAGTGGGGGTCCCAGATAAAAGTAAATACCTGTCATTCCCAATGCTTCAAGTGTAAGTGGACTGTACTTTGTTGCAGCTCTGACTCACTTGCAATCTCTTCTTTTCCCTCCCTTTCTCTATACTTGCTGCATGCTGCATGCCACTCAGAGTGAGGATGAAGAAACGGATTACGATATGAATGACTCAGATTAAGTGTAAATGTCATGGTGAGCACTAGCTGCCCTAGGATTTTGTCCAGACGCTTCTCTGCCCCATCCAATTCCTACCCCCACTAGTGCTGTCCTTTGGCTAGTCCTGGTGGTGTGTGTGTGTTTGTGATTATAGTTGTGGCATGGTTAGCGAAGAAAGAATTCCTGTTCTGGATATTGCTTCTTTGACAGAATAACTAGTGTTGCTGTTATAAGCTGTTTTGTGATTGGTTCCTTTAAAGCTTTGCTGAGAAGAAAAGTTCGTCATGTAGATTCTAGGGTCAGAATTGCTCTTCATTTTTATTTTCGATGCACCACTTTTTCTGTCAAATGTTTTTCTACATGTACAGGCATCTGATACAAACTTACAGTGTACATTTTCAGTAAATGTCTGATTGGTGCAACATAGTCTAAAGATGGTCTTCTCTGATAATTTTGAAACAATTGATTATTTTTTTAACGAAGACCTGGCAAATAGAAGTAAATAGTGTGATCTCAATGCTACAGTTATATTTATCACAGGAAACAACTCTCTCCGGGGAGGGATCATGTCCTTTCCACTGTAGTTTGACATCTTACTGAAGATCAAGGTACTTAAAAAGTCACAAGTGAAAGAATACGAAAGTTGCATCAGAAAGAACAACTTTTGCAACCTTTTCCCAATGTGTCTGCAAACACTGCTCATATTTATTCTGCTATTCACTTTATAGAAGATAACTTATCATTGAATATTCAGTGATACGGCGGTGCAGGTAGTCACTTGAGCCTGTATAAACTGAAGATATTTACCATTGCATGAGATTGAACTCCAGCTCTCACTTATACACCTGAACTTTTTAGCTGTAAAGCAGCCTTATACTTATCTCTGAAATGTTACTTCCTCATGGCTGAAGAAGAACCTACATTATTTTACTAACTAATGCTAACAGAAGCTACTGCTGAGATAGAAAAAGGTCTTTTGCCAAGTCTTCAGGAATGGCTGCAAGGAATGGATCAAATCTGAAGCTTTATTGAAAAAAATTAACTGGCACTGTGCTGGAATTGATTGCAAGATTCTTAAGCTGCCTGAGTCAAACAATCCTGAAAATGCTATTCTGTCTGCAGCAGATCTATTTTGAGTGGGAGGAAACAGTTCTCACGTTCTCCTTCCCTAAGAAGCAATCACATTCAGGCCCCTAGGATATGAGAGTTCATTCGGCATTGTTTAGACTTTATAAGTTAACTTTGGATCTGGTGCACCTGGAGGAAAACCAGAACAGAAACATGAAAAGAAAGAAAATTCTAAACACAGCGTATCTGCATCAGGGTCAGGACAGTCCCCCGTATCAGTACAGACTGGGTGATGAATGGGTTGAGAGCAGTGCTGCAGAGAGGGACCTGGGGACACTGGTGGGTGGAAAGCTGGATACGAGCCAGCAGGTACACTTACAGCCCGGAAAGCCAATTATCCAGAGCTGCATCAAAAGAAGTAGGGAAGGCCACCAGGTCGAGGGAAGTGACTCTCCCCCTCTGCTCTCGTGAGACTCCGCCTGGAGCACTGTGTCCAGCTCTGGGGTTCCCTGTGCAAGAAGGGCATGGACCTGTTAGAGTGGGTCCAGAGAAGGGACACAAAAGAGGTCTGAGGGCTGGAACACTTCTGCTGTGGAGAGAGGCTGAGAGTCTTGGGGTTGTTTGGCCTGGAGAAGAGAAGGCTCCAGGGAGATGTTGTTGTGGCCTTCCAATACTTAAAAGGAGTCTGTAAGAAAGATGGAGATAGACTTTACCAGGGATTGTAGTGGAGAAGGGAGAAGGGGCAGTGTTTTTAAACAGAAAGAGGGTAGATTTAGATTGGATATAATGATGAAATTCTTTACTCTGAGGGTGGTGTGACCCTGGAACAGGTTGCTCAGAGAAAGTTGTGGCTGCCCCATCCCTGGAAGTGTTCAAGGTCAGGTTGGGTGGGGCTTTGAGCATCATTTCAAGCATTTCATCTAGGGAAAGGTGTCCCTGCCCATGGCAGGGGGGTTGGACTAGATGATCTTTAAAGGTCCCTTCCAACCCAAACCATTCAATGGTTCTGTAATCTAAAGTGTGCAGACAGAGGAGCATTATCAGTGATGTCACCAGTTTTAGCCAGTAAAGCATGTTCTCAAACAAAACCTTCTTCCGTGCCTGGTTCTGCTCCAGACATACTCCTCAATCCTAGCTATTAGCAGTTTGGGAGAAGACCTGCCATAACTGTTTTCAGAGTTTATTGACCTCTGTTAGCATTGAGACACCTTCTATCAGCATTTTTGCCCAGTAAGCCAATAAATGTTTTAGGAATAGTCTTATCAAAGGCTTTTTCAGGAGGAAAAAAAAAAAAAAAAGAGGAATTTTGAATTGCAGAACAGTCAGCCATCCTTTCAGTATTTAGTAAGTAAGTACAATTTTGATAGATTTCCTGATAATTGAAATTCGATTTATTCTTTGGACAAAATCACTGCCCATAACTGCAAAAGATCCTCTTTCATGCAGTTTCTGAACAGAGTTGGATGGAACACCTCTCCTGAGAACTTGCTGGTCAGAAATCATTTCCCCTTTAGGGTATTACAGAAGTACCTAGCAAAGTGTGTTAAAACATTGCCTGATCTGATAGAATTTTCTGCTTTACATTGGGTTTAGTGGCTCAGTAAAGTGTGCAAAGTTCAGCGTCCAGATCTGGCTTCACTTTTCTTATTGTAGGTGTTCCTGAAGCTACAGAAAATAGTTCTAAGTCTATTAATCTTAGAAGTAATTCTTATCTTCTAGGAAAGAATAAAATGACACATTTGAAAATGAAAATGTTAAATTGGAAAGATTCACAAAATGAACAGATCCAGTATTGTTTTCTAACTGCACAGGTGCTTGTTTCAGCCATGGTTTTGTCTCTTGGAGATTGTTTCACTTACTACATTGGCTGGGTCGGACTGTTACCCGCTGTGTGGGCATCTACCCCAGCACTTTGTTCTCAGCTGTGACCAACAGCAAGTGCTCGAGGAGAGGGTTTAAGTATGATGCATTTATAAAATTAATTCCTGATATATTTCCCCACCTCAATTTAGGCATTTTGGCTTCAAGCCTGCATCCAGATCATTGTCTGAAAGCTACAATGACACTATGACACCATGTGTAGGTGTCAGTGGCACTGTCTTCCGTAAGTGTGTCTAACCCCTTTTGAATATATTATACTAGCAGTTGGTGAGTAATTTTCAGGGCCTGGCTTTTCCTCACAGAATTCACTTGTAGCTTTCCTACAGTTTCATATGAAATGTTTTTTTGCTTAGTACACATAGTAAATGATCTTCATGAAATAAGCAATGTTTGCATCCAAAATGTACCCTAAAGCGTGTCATGGTCCATGGGAAGCATCTTTCAGTATTTTGGAATTTATCAAAGTAGCTTCAGTCGCATCTGGCTTGATAACTTCAAAATAATAATACTGAATTTGAAATGAAAAAGAACTTTGTATGCACAAAAGGAGGTCCAGGTACTGCAGGAATTGCAGTGAGCAAGTGATAAAATGTATATGTTTTTTTTTTTTTTAAGCTAACACTGAACTATTACTGAACTGTCCCTGAGGCACACAAATGGTGATGGATTCTTTATGAACTCCAGTCCTTAAAAAATCCCGTGGAGTTGTGCAAAGCAGGGGAGAACCTACTTGACTACAGTCACTATCAAAGACATACAAGGCTTAATGTCTGATAGAGGCTGATAGGTGAAATTATCAACATTATAATAATAATAAAAAGAAGCCAAGTACCTAGACTGTTTTTTTTTTTATTTATTTAAAACCATACGTGAAACTGCTGTGCTAAGTGGTTGCCAGCCATCACCCTACAAGCACAAAGGTGTTTGTGTGTGCTCTCAGATTCTGTGGGTCCTCTGGGATGGAATGTGATACTGAGTACGAGCATCAGGTGTTTGTCTTCATATCAGACTACGCTGAAATCATCATAGAAGGAAATTCTGCATTGAAGACAGCATAGTAAAAATCTGTGAAGAAATGTAGTTGATTGACTTTAGTTCATGCAAAAGAACAAGCTTGGGCATCTATTTCAGATTTTAAATCAGTCTGTTTATTTAAATCTTGCCAGCTCGTACTCTTGGCCTTTGAAAACTTCCTGCATCACGTCACCCAGTGTGCCATTTGTGCACATATTCAGCTGCCGGTTCATGTTTTCAGTACTAATTTATGGGACGCAATTTGCAGCTGAAACTTCAGAGAGTTAAGGACATTTCACTGAAATGGGAAAAATGAAGATTAAATTCAATTTCTAATAAAGTATCCAAGTTCATTTACCACACAGGACCTTTTACATCTACCAACCCTTAAGCTTCAGTTTTATTAATCATACTCAATTCCTAGCAGTGACTTATATCTGTTTTTGTTATGTTTCATAGTAGATATTGTACGTATCAATCTGTCTTTTTTCAGCCTTAAAGCACAGACTTCAGGAATGTCCTTGAACCAGCTCCCTGACACTTTACCAGTTTCAAATAGTCATTATGTTGCTCTTTGACCTCCATGCTTCAAGAATGACATTGAGCGAATTTTCATTTACAGAATTTTTATTGGTCTGTTTCAGATTTTGCAAGAACGAGGTTCCAGGATGTGAAGACAGTATTGAACGGTGACAATTTTTTCTCTTTTATTCCAAGACGCAGTGAATTGTCACACTGAAGAGGCTCGGCTGCAAAAGAAAAAATCTGATTTAGACAATTTTCTGTTGATCTGGGTTCAACCATTTTTGCCTATAAGCTGGTGTCAACCGGCTGAAAGCATTGCAAGATTACATAATGGGAATAGATGGTGTGGGAGTGTGTGTTAAGTTTTGGTTGTAGTGCATGGTTGTACTTTCTCGTGGGCTGACTGACACTGGTCATTTGAAAAGAAATGACCATGCACTCATATTTTCCTCTGAGACATGTAGCACTTAATGTCTGGTGCTGGATGACCCAATGTTGATCAGTTCGGAGACGTTTTCCTACTAAGCATTGTAAACTTTTAAGGACAATGTAATTGGTGCTACACACACACACACACACACACACACACACACACATTACAGCCCACAAATGCAAAGATTTGGGCCTACATTGTTTCCGAATCAGCGGCAGCCCCAGTTGACTGTGTTATACTGCACATTCCTTATGGCTCTGTGACATACTCTATTGTGTAATAACAGAGATCAACTGAAACTAGCACGTAAAAAGTTACACAACAGACAAAAGGTTTCTCTAAAGGAAGGGTGTATATATTGACTGGATTTATAGCATATTTGAATACCCAAAGGGAAGACTAAACTCAAAGAAACGGCCTTCATCGGAGTTATTCTTGATGTTCCTTCTGTTAAAACAGTCTCCTCCTGCAAAAGTTATGCTCCGGTCTTAGCCAGATGTTTGGAAGGGGAATCAAAATTTACTTAAAATGAACAACTGAACATTCTCTTTCTTTTGAGATATTTGTACTCATATGTGTGTTTGTGCTTTTATAAAATGCCTATAAGCGTTGAACTCTGTGGATTATGGTAGAGATTTTTCAAGAGCTGGAGGTTGTACAGAAATACGGCTGGCTAGTCCGAGATCCCTATGTCTATGACTGGGATTAAAATCAACCTTGAGTGTGAACACAAGCTCATCCAATTGAAAAACTTAATTACTTCAGACATTCAGGATACCTGTTATCAATCTTTCTCTTTCTATACTGTTTCAACTATGCAGTTAAAGAACACGGTTTGAAAACATCTGGTGCGGCTTTATTAGTTTGTCCTTGGTAAAGGCTAATACACAAGACTGGAGCTTTTTAATACACTATATTTTGAGCAAAATCTTTAGCACATCTTTAAAACACTTAATGCAATTGACAGTGTAAAACTCAGCTTCGTTGACTTATGAAAGCAGTGGAAGGGAGTTTCAAAAATGCTACAAGATTGTTTTGAATTCTAAAGACATCACAGTTTTCATTCTCAGTAACTTCAGAATTTATGCACATACTCTAGGTGATCCTTTACACAAAAGCCTGATTTTCAAACACCCAGGGTCTACTCTGTTTTTTTCTTTTTTTTTTTTTTTTTTAAGGACTTAGTATACATTGATAAAAGTTTGGCAGAAACAATTTGTAAAAACCATTTCTACTAAGCAGGTTAAGCAATGGGCTAAATGTTTTGTCCATGCGTCTAATGCTTGAAAGGGTTTGTAATGCATTTTGCGACTTGGATGTGGTCTGCACAGGAAGCTGCTGGCCCCTCCACAACACCACACAAAATGTTTGTCTTTTTTTAAGATGTTACAAGTTAATTGAATTTACTAAAAATGTAATTGTGTAGGGGGAAATGTTTATACTTTTATACTTTTTTAGGCACCCATATTTTACCAGCTTAAATTTAGCACCCAAATTTCCCCTAAATAGTAACAGATTATCTTGTGTATCTGAAAATAAGCATAACAGTTGTCTGTGTTAACTGCATATTAAAACATTTCCTCTGCTGCAGTAGTCACTGTGTTTCTAAACAGTATGACTCCACCGAATTCTCTGAGCTCCCTAGCTCATGGAGTTGCAGACAACCATGTTTCTTGTTGTTTTCTTGATGTGCTCTACGGAGTAATTCGGCGTTGGCCTAAGTGGATTTTAATGCCTAAAATACCTGTTTTACAATGATCCTTCTGAATCAGCATTTCTGTTGTCGCTCTTATTTAACCCAAAAAAGACAGAATATTTTATTTCATAAAATTAAATTTTCAAGAATGACAGCAGCACAGCATGAGTAACAAACTGAGCAAACAGAACAAATTTAGAATATGTAAGAAGAGTGGGTTTTTCTAAGTATGTTTTTTCACTGGAGCATTTGCAGTTTAAAAACATGCTTTTATGGTGAGATTACCTGCAATCTAGTTTACATTGTATCCCTGTTGTAGCAAATTTTGGAGAAATGAATGGTTAATCATTTTGCACTTTGTTTCCAATACCTCACAAAGATTTTAAGAAAGAAAAAAAAAAAAAAGGAGAGGACTTTATAGGCAGGTACCTTGTAAATTATTTTAAATATGCTGTTGTTTGAGGCCACCTAAACTAACTCCTTTCCTGTTCTTGCTAATGTCATCATGGCTTTAATTTCTGTGAATACATGAGGCTTTCAGATAGATGGAAGTGCTACCATATGCCTTTTTCAAGGCATTAAGACTTGATCCCTAAATAAGTTTGGTTTCTTTTTATTTGACTCTTGTAATTTCAAATAAAGTTAGCTACAGTAACAAGGTAATTGCATTAGAGTCCAGTCTACATCACCAGGTTTTGCAAACATTGCTTTGTCTGTTAAGATCTTGCAGGGTGAGGTATTGTACCAATATGGTTTAAACTGGAGTCCGTTGTCTATTTCTTTTGTGACATTTGGAGAGTATTGACCTCGAGATCTGCCTGTGACTGTGTAAAGCTGATGGGTTTGCTCGGGGGCGGCAGTTGAAAAGCTGTGCTGCAAAAGCCTTTGACATGAACTCTGGATTTATACAGCTTCTCTATTCTTAAATCAAAACTGTATTTCAGGTAGGAATTCGAGATCCTGAGCATAAAGAGATGGTAGCTGAAGGCAATAAAGCAGGAAGAGAGAGATACCAAAACATAACAGTTAATCAAGGTGACCTCTCATGAAGATGTAAATTCTGTGACAGATTTAACTTTCTACCCTTTTGCTATACGAATATTCAGTGTTCAAGTTTGGTGTGTTGTCCGTGGAACAGGAGGTTACTTCAGCAGTTGATTAGTGGATTTTCAGTGAAATTCTTTAAAGGCTTTTACATGACAAACTTCTTGCAAAACCTGTTTAAAAATTGAGAAGTTCAAATTTACCGTAGCAATCTCTTGCTTTGAATTAGGACACAGATAGCACAGTTGGCCTTAAGTTTCATCAGAGGCTAATTTTCTGTATTGAAGATGACATTTTTATATTAAAAGCTTTTTGACTTCTTCAAGCAGCAATTAAATCGGAGTTTATCTGCAATGAACAAGTCATTCTGAGACCTCTGAGATGTGACTGTCGCCTGGTCCATAATAATTGCCCAAAAGCATAGTCTGACTCAGCAGCTCTTGCAGTAAATGGGAAATAGATGTGGGGTTTTGTTTGTTTGGGGGTTTTTTTAACAAAAGACAGAAGGTTACCTGGAATTTTCTCCCACTTACTGTGGAGCTTTCATGGATTATGGCTAATTGCAGTTTGTTATCCAGAGTAATTTAATTGTGTGTCAAAGGCCTGATTGTATTTAGAAGCTTAATTGATTCTTTACTAAACTTTCAGTCTTCAGAATCATATACTCAGAAAATTTGGAAAATGCACTGTTTGGGTTTTTTTCAAACTCAGCTAGGTTTCTTGTAATAATAAAAGTTCCTTTCGTCTTTCATTGTAGCATTAGTAAAAGATATTTCTTAAGAAATTGAGCTTGATGTATCCATCCAACTTTTTTGTCTTCAGATTTTCTTTAGCTGTGTAGCTTCATTTCTAGCAATGTGAATGCACAGTTATGATTTATTAGAAACAGGACTATGTCCTGAAGATACCAAAATTGAATCAATCTCCTCTTTCTCTGAGAGAGCTGGATTCTTTTTCAGGAGAAAAATGAAAAGTTCTAGCAGATTAAACAAAAGAAAACTTGATTGCAGGGATGCTTAGGGAGTAGGTCTGTTGAGTAGGATGACGGTGTTTTCAGAAAACTGCTTCTCAGAACAGAACACTGCATTCTGTGAGTGTCTGTTGAGGTAGTTGAGAGCTGTCAGGGTCTTTTTGAGCAGTAGAGTGCTACCACCAGCAAAGTAACACACATTAATTACAAATTACTATTTTTATTAGTATTACAAAAATTAACTTGGAATGCAAAAATGGAATAGTATCTGATTGAATGAAATGACCTAGAAACTGGATTGTAATGTGTATTGTCCCATCATTCAGGTATACCGGCATACATTCCTTGAGAAGTACTGAGGGAAAAGTGAAGTACTGGGATTTTCATGGAGATTAAAGTCAAGTGAGAGAGAGTCTGGAGGTGAAGCCTGGGATTTTTTCACCTGAGATGTGATAAAATCAGAAAGCATCATTCTCCTATTTTATTTTCTCTCTCACCACATCAAAAGCATCTTTCAAGTTTTTCAAATGAACTTCTTCAATCAGCCCTGAAAGGTGGGGCCCTCTAAAAGAGAGGAGATTTTGTTATGCCATTAACAGTACCTGTTAGCTCAGGACATAGGATTAAAACTTCCAGTGGTCATTGGAGAAGTGTCTTTTCTAACACAACAATTTTGAAATACGTACAGCCTGAGGATGCTGCCTGTTACTTCATTACAGTTTAGGCTGCAGTTATCTCCAGCTTTAAGGACAATCTCAGGACCTTACCTGGGTTTGTGTGTAGAATTATCAATTATTAAAGTAGTATAAATATTCAGTTTGAAAAAAAATGTGGAAGGCTCTCTGAACTGTGTCATATAACTTTTCTTTCTTTTGGCTCACAACAATCAGGAGTGGTCTTTAAAGGCTTCTTACTGAACTCTGAGGCTTTAAAGGGCTAAATAGATCTTATTGTTCAGTTTACCTAAACGAGTGTTATACAGAAGGAACTCTTTCCATTTTCAGTGCAGAAATCCTAAGGGCTAAAATCCTTTCCAGGGCTAATTTGAAGTTCTGGAGATATATGATGTTTAAAAAGCAGCTAGTCTGTTTTTCTTTCGACTCTGGACTCTAAAATAATATTTACAAATGGCTGAACCAATTGCAGTTATAAGTGTTCATATATGACTGGCAATTTCAGTATCCAGCTTGGTGAGGAATATAGAGTACATTTGTCCACCACTTCACTATTGCTTATGCTGAATTCTAACAACTTTTATGAACAGTACTGGCAATAGAGAGACTTTGAGGAAGATTCTGCCCCAGGAAATTGTCATAAATATTTCATTGCAACTTAGCTCTCCTTTATTTTAGCAAGGTCTACAAAGGCATAAACTTCTCAAAAGTTCAGTGTATAGATACTGCTGCAAACAGAGCTTTCTGGGCACGACAAAGGGTTCTCTTTAGGATGCTGTGCATTAATAGCTACTATAACGAGAGAAACTTTTTAGAAAGTTATTTGCTACTTTGGGGGTGGGTGGAAGGGGAGGAGGTTGTGTGACAGTGCTCTCCTTGCCTTAGAAAGCGCTGAGCCTAAATTTTGACCTGACTTAAAACCTGTTGAGATTTCCAGGCCTGGTCATCTGAAATGTAAGAGTTAA